TAAAAGTTCCTTCTCTCGCACTTCTCGCTTGTGGAACTATCTTCCGGCTTTTTGTTTCCCAGTCAACTTTGATCTTCAAAAATATAAATGCGATATCAACAGTTATGTTCTTAATTCTTGTTCTTTTATTGTCCTCACTCCTTAATAATATTTATATCATATTCTCTAACACTCAGTAACCTCTCGCTTCCTAGTGGCTTTATTGCCTTACTTGGGGTGAAATGATTAAAAGAAAATGTATATTTATTAGTAGTATACATTTTAGCTCTGTTATTTTGCATTGAACACGTTTTTATTACCACAAGCACTCACTGTGCGCTATTATATATATATATATATATATATATATATATATATATATATATATATATATATATATATATTTCTATTTTTTCATACTTGGAGGATATTTACCAAGCTCAGAACCATGGTAGTAAGGCTTGAACTCACTAAGATGGTAATAGACTATAATATTCGTGTTGATGTGCATAAACGCTCAAAGGTTGTTGTAACTTTAAAGATGACGTCATCACAAAAGCAGCATCTTTAGTTCTTATTTAAGTAGACATTTTTTGTCTATACCTGTATCTTGGACAGGTGAAACAGGTGTTCGGAAATACTTTTATTTACCTTGTTTTCATTTCTTTTTTTTCATAAGAATTTCCTTTCCCCAGTTTTACTTATTTTTTTTTCTTTCATGTTTCATGATTTTACATGAAGTCATGACTTTCTTCCTTTTTTTTCCATTTCCTTTTCTTTGAACTTTTCCTAGTGTAAAAAATAATTTGAAAACATATTATTATTGTTAGTAGTAGTAGTACAAGTAGTAGTAGTTGTACTACAGAAGACGTTGAAAAAGTGATTTTAGTTCTAAGGTCAGTCTGACCGCAACGAAGCCCTCTCAAATATTTTAGCGATCCTTAGGGATGTCTGCAGGAACTGTTAAAAAAACCACAAACATTTTGATTTGATTCACAGGATGCCAGGAACCAATCACGGATCATTAATTTTGACCATCACCGTGACTCTTTGTCTATGGGGACCCTCAAGATATTACAGACATTTATTCTTAATACCTTTACCATATGGACATAACATTTTTTTAAAGACTTTAGTACCCGTTAGCGATATGTATAGAAACCTTTTATCACAAATTTGTATAGTTAGAGTCATAGATCAGGCTGCCATATTACGTGTACGATGCTGTACCATTGTGATTATATCTGCAAGTAAATGAAGATTCATTGCATGTATGATTTGGTTAAAACAGACACAATGTTTCCAATTGCGATCGTATAAACTGATTCTCTGTCTACTTTTCATCTTTAAGTTCACAGATAAAGTAAAGAAAAAAGCATACGGAAGAGTATATAGCGTATATTTATCAGGTTTATGTTAGTCAATGTTGCTTATCAACAACGATTATTATTTAAAACTTCTTCTAACATCTCAGCAATATGTCAGTTAACATAGCTTATACTGATCCAAATTTGGCATAAAGCCATTTGAAGAACTTTGAGAAAGATTAAATGCATTGCATCTACGCGTAAATGTATGGATTTAAAGATGCTTAATGTTAGTGTAAAGAATTAATTATTTAGGAGATTTCAAGATAAAGATTTTTACCTGATTTTTGTATATATATATATATATATATATATATATATATATATATATATATATATATATATATATATATATATATATATATATATATATATATATATATATATATATATATATATATATAGAGAGAGAGAGAGAGAGAGAGAGAGAGAGAGAGAGGGGAGGGGGTATCTCAAAGATCCGGTAAAAAATGAGTATATATGATGAAAAAACCTAAAATTAATAAAAATAGTTTTATCGTCAGAAAGACCACAGTGGAAAGAAGAAAGATCGAAGGATATACCCTCAAAGAAAAGCGATACCTAAGGATTAAAATGCTTTTTTAAAGATGTGAAATCTTTCTTGGAGCTTTTACTTTGGTTTTATTGTCAACCTAATATATTAAATTTAATATTTCCAATAAGCAGAACACTTTTCTGTATTTCAAAATCAATTGAAATTGATTGGAATTACTTTTTTATCATCAGTAAAAAGGCTATAATCGTCCACATTGAGAAATCTGTCAGCACAAAGACATCTTTTAAAAATCAAATATACTTTTCTGAAACTTTGAAGAAGTTTAGCTGATATAAGTTTAATTAAATCTTATTTGAAACAAATATTACTTTTAGTTTGAAATATCGTAGAAATTCAGTTTTAACAGGGAGAGGATGTATTTTATGTGATGTTGAGAATCGATAGACTTATGTTTGGGAATTTTTTTCTTATAGGGGCGTTAGGGCGGCTTTAAAGCTAGGAACTAATATAACCGCTACAAAAAAGAAATTATCGAATTATGATAAAATTAAATAAGTTGTCAGTAACAGCTGCAATAAAAATATTACTAAAATTTCTTTAATTTGTGAATAAGTCCTGCAAGTTTCATTGAAATTAGACAGTTATCTGATTTTTGCAAGAATTTCCAAATCAGTGCAAAAAAACGCTAAAATTTCCCATACTAATACAATGTTGACACGGTAGAAATAAGATTTTTGTCAAAATCTCGAAGGTTCTAAAAAGGATTAAAAAATATAATTTTTATATCAAAATCCCTTTAATCTTTCCTCTTAATAAAAACATAAAGATTTTGACGATGAATTTTTATTATTTTTAGTAAGTTTTCGGTCTTTTTTATCATGCATTTTTTTTATTGAATCTTTGTTGGCAACTATATATATATATATATATATATATATATATATATATATATATGTGTGTGTGTGTGTGTGTCTATGTATGTATGTGTGTGTGTGTGTGTGAATTTGCAAGATTTTGGTATAATTTAAATATTCCGTACTTAATCTAATTCACATTTGGTTAGAGGATATGTGAAAAAAACCTCACTTGTTTTTTGATTGGTTGTTTTATTGTCATTTCACCCGCATGTGATATCGAAATATTTGTAACTGACGGGGGCTGTAAAAAGCTTTCCAGTTCTTAATGAACTCAGTCAATGTTACTCATACTCTCTCTCTCTCTCTCTATATATATATATATATATATATATATATATATATATATATATATATATATATATATATATATATATATATATATATATATATATATAGAAGACAACAGAAGTGTTGAAACAAAATAGCTATTTTTGTAGTGATTTTATAACATTTTTATGTTATAATTTTTGAATAAATGATTATATATATATATATATATATATATATATATATATATATATATATATATATTCGACAAAAGTAAAACTTTTCTTTACCAACTTTTTAGCAACTTTTATTTAATGACATAAGTGGAGGAAAATATCATTAAGTTTTCACATTTAAGAAATCTAAAATATTATTAAAGTCAGCTTTGTAAGGAAAAATAATCTATAGTGGACACAAAATGTTATCTGTCTATCTCTATATATGTAATATGTATAGCGAGACTCTTCGCGTAAGCGAATTGAGTCACTGTCAGTCACTGGGCATGTTTACAAAAGTAAATGCGCTAAAAATCTACCTCCGTTCCTACCGTGCGCCGACGGCTTAGTGGTTAGAAGCTCCGACTGACACCAATTCCGTCGGGTTTCGATCCTAGCTAGAGGCAAACGGATGTCTAGCCGCACTGATGAGCTGTAAACAGCGAAACAGTCTGTCTGTGGATGACATTATATTACATATATCTATATCTGTAATATATATATGTTTGTGTGTGTACGCGCGTGTGTGAGAGATTTGAAGAAATGTTACTGGCAAGAATTGTTTTTTTTAACATTTCTTAAAACTCTCATGGGTGGGCGTTGGAAGTATGTACAAGAACTATTCATAGACTTCTCCTGGGGGCTCTCGGCTATTCGTGAACCAGATGTTTTTGTGTTGTTAATCAAAACGTTAGTAATTACAAATTGTGGACAAAAATGTTAGCTACACATTTTATGAATTGAAATTTTCAATTTCAACATTATAGCATATCTTAAATGACGTATATATATATATATATATATATATATATATATATATATATATATATGCACAATTAAATTGAGCAACAGTAACCAGGTACCCCAACAAAAAAAACATCCTCTAATGAAGAAAAGTAATGTTTAAAATCCGTTGAAAATTGCCATCATGCGTCAGCGTTCATTTTACGCCGAGCCCAAGGATAAAATCTGTCCCTTAAGAGCTTTTTTCTTAGAACTAATAGAACTAAAACATCCTCCTCCCCCCTTTCTATTACACACAAAGTCGTGTGTTTGTTTACTTATTTTTTGAAAATAACAATATAGCGTTCATTAGTTTTTTAAAATAATAAGAGGTTAAGAGCTTATTTGGTAAAAAAATCATGTTAATGTAGGGATTCAACTGACCTCCTGGTTTTTAAAGTTTATATATATATATATATATATATATATATATATATATATATGAATGAATGAATCAATGAAATAAACGAATTAAGAGACATTAGGTGGAATTATACAGTTAAATTTCACCATCGGATTATCAGGCTGCATGAGCTAGGTCTCATCCTTTTACAATTGAAATTAATAAATAAAACCTTAAATTCTATGCTAACAGTTTCTTCTCTTGCACATCTCGCTCATGGAACTTTCTTCCGGCCTTTTGCTTTCCAGTCAACTTTAATCTTCAAAAATTTAAATCTAATGTCAATCATTATCTTCTGTCTTCTTAATTACTGTTTTTTCATTGTTCTCTCTCCTTATTAATGTTTAACTTTTTCTCTTATTCTTTCATCTTGCGTCTTAGTGCCATTAGTGCTTTGCATGGTGCGAAATGATTAAAAAATTTTCAAAATCAAAAATTGTTCAGTAGTTCTTCTTCTAACATTGAACACTTATTATTATTATTATTATTTTACAACTGCTTCATTATTTTTTCGGCAATAAAATATAATTCATATTGAAACTGCCTTCTTCCATGTGTCACTCACAAATCGGCTCCTTTTATGTGCCACTCCCAACATGTTTTCCCTTTATACCATTCACAATGCATCACTCTCGTCCTGTCTTCCACTATTTGTCATTAATAACCTATCTTCCATTATGTGTCACTCACAAGCTCTCAACCACTATGTGTCAGGCACAACCTGTCTTTCATTATGTTTCTCAAAATTTAAATTAATTTTTTTAAAATATATATTTTGAGTATATAGACTAGTCAATTTCATTTAGTTTCTTTTTCTTTTTGTTCATGTTTCCATCACTTTTGTTATTAAATATCTCACATTGTGATAATAGAAGTTTTATGAAGAAAGATGAAGTATTTTAAGAACCTGAACGTAAATTTACTGTGGATGTTTTAATGAAAACCCTTTAATCACTACATCATCCATAGTAAAGCTGTATTACTTCAAACGTTATTGTACTGGATACTCGTATTTGAAAGAGACGCTCTATTTTTTATTTTATTGAAAGAGACGCTCTATTTTTTATATTACTTTCATCGACTTGCGCATTCAAGAAATCGCAATAAACGAAATGTACTCTCTGGCAGGGATCGGCCCACCCACCTTTGTAGGAGAAAACACCATCTGTTCGAGCATGTTTTACTACTCGCCTATAAAGAACGTCACATTTAAGCAAAGCTCTGTTTTCACTTTCACACTTCCTCATTAAGATATTTTTCTCGAAAGCCCATATCTGCGCAGTTTTTTTTTATCCGAAACTTAAAGTAATTTCAAAATAATTAATGGATTTGTTTTTAATCTAACATTTTTATTACTTCAAACAATTATAGTGGATACTCGTATTTGAAATAGACGCCCTATTTTTAATTTTACTTTAAACTGTGTATTACGTCTATCGACCTGCGTATTCGAGAAATCTTAATAAAGAAAATGTACTCTTCAGTAGGAATCGAACTTGCGTCCCTTTTGATCCAGCGTGCTTTATAGCACGGCTAGGAACTGCGTCAGGGTTCAAAAATAGAAAATTCGTTGTTTCAATTGAGAAATCTGTAATATTAACAAAATAATATTATTGAATGCTTAACTCTTAATGCAATATCTAACCCTTAATTTAATCTGTGTCTATCCTTGAATTTCGATCATGAAATTATTTATGTCTTTCTTTTGGCTCCGAAATCATGACTCAGTTACCTGTTAAGAGGTCCAGGTAGGGACGTTACTAATTACAGCTCAATTTTTCTCTTCAGTTTTTTTTTTCTTTTTTTTTTTCTTTTGTGTATTTTTTTTACCTGGGTTCTGAGCAAGGCAGAAAAACAGCAAAGTCTTGTGGAGAGCAGAAAAGAATTAACCAGACTTTTATGAGCCATAAAATGGAAACATTTAATTGCCTCACGATTTCGCGACATTGTCAAAATTTCTAAAACATCAACCATAAAAAAAGACCCCGTGGGTTTTAAATGCTCATTCACTTTTACACATAGAAATACATGTGGACCATTGTGTGTGTGCATAACACATACACTTACTTTAAACTAATGCCGTCTTTTTTCCATATATTGTGACTGTTTTGCATAAAGTTCTTGATTTCAGATGAAAACTGGGAAATTTTCCAACATATATTAGTGAAATGTTCACTTTCTAAAATTGCTGTTTCTAAATAATTTAAATACACTGGGAACAAAAAAGTGTTAGATTAAAATTATGTCAGGCGGTTAATTGGTTAAGTGTAATATTCGCTACTGAAGGAAAGAAGGAAGTTAGGTTAAGAAATAAATATCTGTCTGTATCTCTGAGATGAGGTATTATGATTACTTACATTATTTGGACTGTTATCCTCATCTTCAATTTCGGCCTTCTTCAGGTAATTGAAATTTCGAATGAACCCTTTAATTTCGTTCACCGGGGTAAATTATTCTAGTTCCATCGTGCTATGCTCTTTCCGGATGTCTCAGTTATTTCCCTTTAACTCAACTCTCAAGTTTTTTGTAACCTGGTATTGAATTCTTTGTGTCTAGTCACTGGATCTAACCAACGCATTTATCCACTGAGCTATGTGTCCTTGAAGATCTCTGTGTATAAATTTCTCGGACTTATAAACCTAATGTCTCAACAACCGTTTTTTACCAGTGTACATATTGCAATTTTTCTGTTATTATTATTCTGTATTTTTTACCAGAGCTTTTTGCTGTCATTCATTGCTTTTCTCTAGCACTCCTTATTACTGGTTTCATATTGTATTCATTTCTATGTTTGGTCGACTCAGGAGATTTTTGCGGCATAGCATATTGCTGATTCCTTAAGTTTTCGTATTTTCCGGTGATGTTCTCTGTCTATTATTTCAACATCATCCAACAGGGGGTGGCTATTTCCCTTTTACTTTCATGTGTGGTCAGCTACGCCTTATTTTTCTATTTCCCCTGGTGTTACCGCTTTACGATGTTCTCGCAGTCTTACCTTAAGGGGGCGGCCTGTTTTTCCTTTATATTTCTTACCACAGCTGCACGGGATGACGTACACACAGTCCTTAGTCATGTTTCCCTCTATGAGGGGTCTTACTTTGAAGAGACCGAATAATGTAAACAATGTAAGTAAAAAAATAATATTTAAGATATTTTCAAAGCCTTTTATAAACATTTGATTTTAGTTATATATTTACATATATACGCCTGGAGTCAGTTTAAACTAAAGCCTTCTTCCTTATTGTGACTATTTTGCTTAAAGCTCACATTTTCTTAATTTCAGATGAAAATGTACAACATATTTCAGCGAAATTTTCACTTACAGTTATTAATTATAGCATAGACATATGAACAAAACAAAAAAGGTGTCAGTTATAAACTGACGCTAGGAGTTAACCTGGTTTAATCATGTATGTATATGTTTGCATAGAAAATTATATTACGAATTAAATAGCAATTGGCGGCTAGGTTGAAATTGCTAAGTGCAAGCGTAAGTCTCTTTTTTTTTCAGGGCGATAGTCCTTGGAAAACGGAGAAGTGTGACTTTACTGAAAAGATAAAATAACTCCTTGAAAATGAATCTCATCTTCTACTGATTCGATCAAAATTTAGTTTGAAACAGAAGCAGCGTATGATATATTTTATCAAGCAATATCTCTCACAGAATGAAAAGAGCAGATCTAAAGAGGTAGTTCCACAAAACCGGATCCATTCGCCAAACTTTTTGGTGAAGTTGTTTTGGCAAATATGTAGTTTGCAAAAGACATAAAAATCCCTCCCAAAACTTCGTTTACAAAACCGACTTATAATTTTCAAGAATTACAATATAAAGTACAGCACAAAAGTAAGTGAATCCCTGCGACAATATTTAAAAAAATGTCTGGTTTTTCCAGATAATCAACAAGTCTCAAACTATATATTCATTAAGAAACACATTTATTAAACGAATTACAACCACTTCCAAAATTTTTTTTATCAAGCTGGAATATTAATTAAAAATTAAGATGTGCAAAAGTAAATGAACTCTGACCTTTAATATTTGGTGACTCCCATTTTTGAGGTCACGCAGTCAGCCAATTTTTTGGATAATTTTTATGAAGTTTCTAGCAGTAGTGAGCGTCAATTTTTGATTGTTCTTCTTGATAAAACCCCCACAATTACTCGATATTAACTGTTTCTTGCATGTAATTTCTTCTTTAACTTGAACTATAGAATTTTCAATTAGATTTAGACAAGGACTTTAACTAGGCCATTCGAAGTCTTGAAATTTCTTTTTTCGAACGCATTTTTTGAGGGTTTGGTTCGGATAATTATCTTGTTGGAAGATCCAGCTCCAACCTCAACCCAACTTTCCAACCACGAGCAAAACACTTTCTTCCAAAATTGCTTGGTATCTTGCAGAGTCTATTGTGTGACCAATCCCTACTATTTTGCCTGTTGCAACAATGCACCCCAAATCATAATGCCGCAAACTCCATGCTTAACTGTTGGTATCAAATTTTTCTCTTCAAAAGCTGTATTGGGAGCTCGTCAGACAGACCGCTTCTCGGTCCTCCTAAAAACGCTCTAGTTTGGTTTCATCCGACCATAAAACCTTTTGCCAGAACGTTTCTAGCTTATTAATATGAACTTTGGCATGATTGAGCCTAGCTTGTTTGTGCTTTTTTCAAGCAGCGGTTTTTTTCTAGGCATTTTGCCATAAAGACCGGCATCGTTCAGATTTTGTCGCATTGTAGACGTATGTACATTGATTCTGACATTAGCCAAAATAGACTTGGAGAACCATAGGGGATCGCAGCAGATTCGCCTGAACTTGTCGAACTAAATCTAAAATTTATTGGTAATTTTGTAACGTTTTCTTAAGAACCGTCTTAGTAAGTAAGAATATACACCTAAAATACATAAATTCAATAAAATATTAGAATGCTAAAAATATTTAAAGTTTTTAAGATTAAATGGCGTTTAAGTTGTAATTGTCGTCTAATTTTATTACAATTATCTCCTCAGATGAATTTCTCAGACATCACGTTGTAGATACGAATCATTAATCAAAGAATTTTCTCTTATTTTCTAACATCTTATGTAAGCTTTCAGGTAAAAAGTGTATATGCCTCATTAAAAAGAAAAGGAAACGACCCCAGTTCTGATTCGATAAATTCCTTTGAAGAATTTAAAGATATCTCGATACAACTGGAATCATTTATCAGAAAAGAAATGTCGCAGACGGTAAAATAAATGATCATTTGAATGTGACAGCTTCGGGGAATACGCCATGTGTGAGAGAACTTCCGTTTCTGGACCCAATATCATTTGAAACATTTAATTTGCGAAACGTGAACGTTTACAGAAATCCATTTAATTGTTCACATAAAAATATTTTCCCTACCAATGTGCCACCAAGAAATTTTCTCTTCAGTTGAACTGAAAATGCAGTCCCTTTTCCCATCAATATTAGAAAGAGCTATAACATTTAATGAACTTGAAGAAGCCTAATTTCTTAAAAAACTGTTTTAATTTTCTTTTAAATTACAAGTTTAAATTTAAGTGAATTTTTAACGGCATATCAACTCTTTAGAGTCATTTTATGCCACAACTCATTTATTTTGATTTATATTCAAGGAAAATGGACAAACAATGTGTTATGCTTGGCATATCTCTCTGCGTAGTAGTAGTCGTAGTACAGTTTTCCGTGTCCTGAATAGCAACTGGGTTTGCAAGGTATAGCTGTTCCCTATGTTCGCTAGTTGTTCTCTATTTATACTTGTCTATCTAATTTGCATACGTTACTACACAATGTTTTTTTTTAGTTTTTTTATAAATAGGTATTATTGGCAATTTTACGATAAATAGGTATTGTTGGTAATTCTTTTTATGTGAAAATGTATTGCTGGTATTCTCTGTGTCCTGAACAGCAACCGGGTTCGCCAGTTGTTCTGTATTTATACTTGTCTATCTAATTTGCATACGTTACTACATAATGTTTTTTTTTTTTAGTTTTTTATAAATAGGTATTATTGGTAATTTTACTATAAATAGGTATTGTTGGTAATTCTTTTTATGTAAAAATGTATTGCTGATATTTTTACTATAAAAATGTATAGTTTCATAGTCTTTTGTTTTTATTTGGTGGGGATTCATTACTTGCTCGTGGCTTGGACCCTAACAGGTGCTACCCAACCTGGTTCAGGCTGAACCTGGAAACAACAGCAATTAAGAGGTGGTTCCACGCTCCTCAAAACCTCCAATCTCCCAATCAGAAGCCTTGCTGTCGGATGTAGTTTATTGCCCCCAAAATTATAAATTTCATCCGGCACAACACATTCGGCAATAAATTACGGGTGTTTCTTGCATGGAAATGGTTTGTTTACTTTCACCATTACCATTATTTTTACCTTACAATTTACTGTAACCATGTCCCTAAAATACGAAGTTTTTGCATTAAGATAATAAATCATATTAATAAATATTATTCCAGTTGATATCCGGTTCATATAAATGTTCTTTAGCAAACTTCAGGCCGAACTCCAAGTGCGATTTCCCCAGTAGCTTTCGTGTTCTACATGATCACCGAGCCATGTTGGCGGTGTGTGTTACTAACAGCTTACCATATAAATATTGCCCTTGAGGCACGATGCTCTAACAGCTCAGTGAAGAAATAACTAGCTTGTAACTTTCATTATTTCAGAAACTTAAGCTAATATGGTTTCATCATCGACGTTCAGATCCCGAGTTTTCTCCAGTCACAACAGTTACACACACAATGAGGCACCATGCTTAGAAAATCTACTGAGTTTCACGTTTACCTAAGACCTCAAGCTTACGGTCGCATCAAAACACCGGTTCCTGTACAATTCACTGAAGTTAAGCAATGTCGAACCTGGACAATATCTAGATGAGTGACCGGTTCCGAATACCAGTTGCTGCAAGCTTGAATGTGCAAGTGGTGTAGGTGTATTGGATAATGGTTCGGAATTGTTAATCGGAGAGCCGAGTTCCAATTTCAGTTGGGTTCGTTACATTCACCTACGCGCAAATACCCCTGGGATAGGTATGAACCCACGTCTTCTCCCACCAGCTATGGATTAATTAGTAAGACTTGTGTGGCCCTGTTGCTGCGTGCTTTGCTGAATGCCACTCTTACTTTGGTCCGTGTCCGTTGGTCCGTCTCCGGCGAGCCCACTCTGCGCCGATCCTGCGTCTCCACCTTATGTTTCAGTTTCTACGGGAATATCAGTGAAGAACTGTCGAAGATCAGGCTTGACACCTCTTTTCCCTGGCTATACTTGTGAAAGACTAAAGTCACCAGTGTCTCCGGTAAACTTAATTAACTTCAACAGCACACATTAACAAGTGTAAAAATAACAACTTTTATTTATGATACTATTATTGATTAGGATCATGAATACATAAACAAAAGCGATTTGAAGAAGTTTCCTCGTATAAGGAATTCTTAAAATGGGAGCAAGAGGTTAATTGACGGTTTCAGTTATGGCTAAACAGCACTGAGTCGTTCAACTATTTAAATGAAGGCAGCTGATCGAGGGAGTTCAAAAAGCGGCGTAGAGAATAGGTCTTTAATTGATTGAGCACCACGGTCATCCGGCAGGGAGAATGTTGGTCTACTAGAGGCCAGAGCAGTTCGATTTTTTTCCTGCTCTTTCGGCAACTGCTTTTATAGGGAAAACGAGAAGCTTTGGCGAGCCAATGAAAATGGTGACCTTGTCTCACCACCTTAAGTGGAACAGTTTCCATGTTTCCGAATCTCACCCACATTTGAATTATCTAGGTGTCATCCCCTCCATCTGAAAGTTTATCCCAGATTAAAACAAACTGGAAAGTAAAAATTTATTTTGTGTTACTCATTCCAAAGAATAATTCCTTTATCAAATGAAAACAACACTTCAGTTAAACAGACCTAAGACTGTACCAAGTGACCAATCTCAACTAAGTTTACAATTTCACATTTCACACTATACCCATATTAAAACAAAACTGGCGAAAACGAAAAAACTTTTACGCACTTTTCTTTACGGGCGTCTGGCGATTCGAACGAACGGGCGTCTGGCCAAACATCATTCAAAGGCGCAACGGGCGTCGGGCGACAGCGAACGAAGGCCGGCCTTTAAGGCGCATTACGGGCGTCTGGCGACAGCGAACGAAGGCCGGCCAACAACTTCGACGGACTTAACTTACCTTCTAAGGCGCATTACGGGCGTCTGGCGACAGCGAACGAAGGCCGGCCAACAACTTCGACGGACTTACGCACTTACCTTCTAAGGCATTACGGGCGTCTGGCGACAGCGAACGAAGGCCGGCCAACAACTTCGACGGACTTACGCACTTACCTTCTAAGGCGCATTACGGGCGTCTGGCGACAGCGAACGAAGGCCGGCCAACAACTTCGACGGACTTACGCACTTACCTTCTAAGGTCGCGAACGGACTTACGCACTTACCTTCTAAGGCGCTCGTCTGGCGACAGCGAACGAAGGCCGGCCAACAACTTCGACGGACTTACGCACTTACCTTCTAAGGCGCATTACGGGCGTCTGGCGACAGCGAACGAAGGCCGGCCAACAACTTCGACGGACTTACGCACTTACCTTCTAAGGCGCATTACGGGCGTCTGGCGACAGCGAACGAAGGCCGGCCAACAACTTCGACGGACTTACGCACTTACCTTCTAAGGCGCATTACGGGCGTCTGGCGACAGCGAACGAAGGCCGGCCAACAACTTCGACGGACTTACGCACTTACCTTCTAAGGCGCATTACGGGCGTCTGGCGACAGCGAACGAAGGCCGGCCAACAACTTCGACGGACTTACGCACTTACTAAGGGCGCATTACGGGCGTCTGGCGGACTTACGCGAACGGGCGTCTGGCGACAGCGAACGGCCAACAACTTCGACGGACTTACGCACTTACCTTCTAAGGCGCATTACGGGCGTCTGGCGACAGCGAACGAAGGCCGGCCAACAACTTCGACGGACTTACGCACTTACCTTCTAAGGCGCATTACGGGCGTCAACGACAGCGAACGAAGGCCGGCCAACAACTTCGACGGACTTACGCACTTACCTTCTAAGGCGCATTACGGGCGTCTGGCGACAGCGAACGAAGGCCGGCCAACAACTTCGACGGACTTACGCACTTACCTTCTAAGGCGCATTACGGGCGTCTGGCGACAGCGAACGAAGGCCGGCCAACAACTTCGACGGACTTACGCACTTACTTCTAAGGCGCATTACGGGCGTCTGGCGACAGCGAACGAAGGCACGGACTTACGCACTTACCTTCTAAGGCGCATTAGGCGCATTACGGGCGTCTGGCGACAGCGAACGAAGGCCGGCCAACAACTTCGACGGACTTACGCACTTACCTTCTAAGGCGCATTACGGGCGTCTGGCGACAGCGAACGAAGGCCGGCCAACAACTTCGACGGACTTACCTTCTAAGGCGCATTACGGGCGTCTGGCGACAGGCGAACGAAGGCCGGCCAACAACTTCGACGGACGCATTACGGGCGTCGTCTGGCGACAGCGAACGAAGGCCGGCCAACAACTTCGACGGACTTACGCACTTACCTTCTAAGGCGCATTACGGGCGTCTGGCGACAGCGAACGAAGGCCGCCATTACGGGCGTCTTCTAAGCGGGCGTCTGACAGCGAACGAAGGCCGGCCAACAACTTCGACGGACGGATTACGGGCGTCTGGCGACAGCGAACGAAGGCCGGCCAACAACTTCGACGGACTTACGCACTTACCTTCTAAGGCGCATTACGGGCGTCTGGCGACAGCGAACGAAGCCGCCAACAACTTACGGACTTACGCACTCTTCTAAGGCGCATTACGGGCGTCTGGCGACAGCGAACGAAGGCCGGCCAACAACTTCGACGGACTTACGCACTTACCTTCTAAGGCGCATTACGGGCGTCTGGCGACAGCGAACGAAGGCCGGCCAACAACTTCGACGGACTTACGCACTTACCTTCTAAGGCGCATTACGGGCGTCTGGCGACAGCGAACGAAGGCCGGCCAACAACTTCGACGGACTTACGCACTTACCTTCTAAGGCGCATTACGGGCGTCTGGCGACAACGAACGAAGACGGACTTACGGCCAACATTACGGGCGTTGGCGACGGAACGAAGGCCGGCCAACAACTTCTTACGCACTTACCTTCTAAGGCGCATTACGGGCGTCTTAAGGCCGGCCAACAACTCTTCCTTCTAAGGCGCATTACGGGCGTCTGGCGACAGCGAACGAAGGCCGGCCAAACGGACTTACGCAACGCATTACGGGCGTCCGGCGACCGGAACGAAGGCCTTCGACGAACTTAATTTAACGATTCGACGGACTTACGCACTTATCTTCCAAGGCGCATTACGGGCGTCCGGCGACGGCAAACTAACAGGAAAAATATTTTTCTTTCTTTAGAAATAAAATTAGATCGTCAGTCAAACTTTGACACCAGTCATGGTTTCATAATTGTATCACTAAACCATTACACGCACGATGGAGTAATGGATAGTGGCAAGGATTGAGGAATTGGAGATCCGAGTTCGAATTCCAGTCGAATCCATTATATTCACTTACGTGCTAAAACCCTTCTTCTCCCCCAGCTATGGGTAAATATCAGGACAGACCGGGTTCTATAGCCTTGGATGACAACTGGCAACCTACTGCGGGAAAAAATCTGCCTCGTCAGTCATGTATCAAAAGATACATGATCGCCTAAGCGTGTATCACGTGTATAATGGTACATAACTGACTGAAACCATTATTATCTCCCAAAAATATTCTTGAATAACCTGAAAAGTGTTGATAAGTCGGACAAAACGAATCAGTCAATGAAATATTGATTAGCTTGATCATTATTTACATTCTACCTACCGTGGCCAAAAAATGAGAGATTAGTTTATATACTGATTGTAATAGAGAATTGATCCCCCACTTTATATCTACATTATAATTTCTTGTTTGTTTATTAAATTTTGATTAGGCATGTATCCACCTTCATGTATCTTCTACCTCATCTATGGGTTAATTAGAAAAACTTGTATCCCCAAATCATTATTATCTCTGAAAAAAATTCTTACACTCTAAAAATATTTTCTGCCTTTAAATAACCTGCAAAGTCGTAGAAAATGAATCAAATAAGACCTCAAGTAGAAGTGGTACATACGAATCTTTTCTAAAGATGCTGATAAATCGGTCAACATATTCTATTGCTCTATGAAGTATCTGACTATATTTACAAGAGACCGATTTTGCGAAAAGTGGAGTATTGATGCAATAATTGTGATGAAGCTGTTCAATTCTCACTTTCCAATGTTGATAGAAATCAAAATCGTTCACACTGTCTGATTGGGGGGGGGGGTTATTTCCCACTCCACAACTTTTTTCCAACAGGCAAACCATCGAAAACCTGTCGATAATCTGTAGATATTCGCATGGCAAATCCATTCTTTTTGTTCCACTAATTCAGACCATTACTCTTAGGATACGTCATGTTATTCCCACGGAGGTGAATCACCCTTACTTCCTCCGTGTTTTAAATATAAGTAGAAAATTCCACAGACAGCTTTTTCTATAAAAAGCGGCGTAGAGAATAGGTCTTTAATTGATTGAGCACCACGGTTATCCGGCAGGGAGAGTGTTGGTTTACTGGCGGCCAGACCAGTTCGATCTTTTTTTCTGCTCTTTTGTCAACTGCTTTTATGGGGAAAACGAGATGCTCCATTCCAGCCTCTCTATCTCATCGGCGTGCCAATGAAAATTGTGACCTTGTCTCGCTCATATCCACATTTTCTATGGTCCGGAATCTCATCCTCATTTCACCTGATTATCACAGGTGTCATTGTCGCTTCCATCTGAAAGTGTGTTATTTTCCTGATCAAAACAACCCTGACCGGTAAAGATTTGCTTTGTGTCACTCATTTCAAAGAACAATTTCTTTATCTGTTGTGGAGTATTTTTCACAGTGGAGGCTTGTATTTTAATAAGTCGTCCTAAATTAGGTTCGACATACAAAACGTTAGGAACTTGGAAAATAAGAGTTAATGACGCAGCAATCTAGTTGTGATGATCTGTACTTCAATGTCCGATATCATTTGACTGGCTCAACACCATTGAGCCGAACGCTACTGCTACTTATTGTCTATGGGAGAGTCCATTACCATAGAATAGTTAATATGGCATAACATTATCAAATGAAAAAAATGTAAAATGTAAGGAGAAAGTTCCTCAGACAGCTTTTCTATAAGAAATGCCATTTTGTTGGACAAATATTAACTTAGACGATTTCTTGAACACTTTTATTCTCAATCTATTCACACCAAGTTCAATCGCTATCTATCTTCCTTGTCTTTCATTTCCTACCACCTTTTTCATTCATATCACACACCTCATTCATCCTTACCTTTTAGACTATAATCATCTACTTTGGGTGGATCTCGAGCCTTGTATTGAGTGAAATTTAGTTTTAAAAGACCTCTGGCTACTTCTTTATTATTCTTACTATCCAAATTGCAGTACTGCTGAAAATCTTTTGAGGATCTCCAGATAATTCACTGTCGAGTTATGTTCCTCCCCACTTACGAAATTTCGAACCAACCACACATGGATGAATACGTTAAACACCTCTTTGCTTTTTTTTCCAGATGTATGGTTTACGACTGTGTGTATAACTGTGCCGATTTTTGAAAATACGTACGTTTACACACATTATCAGAAAATAACAGTGCTAAATCTAAAATTTATTGTTCATTTTCTAACATCTGCTCAACAGCCGTCGTCGCAAGTTAAAATATAAAACCAACGTATGTATGAAATATTTAAAATTTTCAAGATTACTGGGTAGTTAAAAAAAAATTATATAAAAAAGGTTGTCATCGTCATGTAATTTTATTACAATTATCTCCTCCTTAGCTAAATTTCCCAAACATCAGGCTGTCGATAAGTGTGTCAACATTTCTTAAAAACAGAGAATCATTAAATAATCAAATAATACGAGTGTGAATATCGATGAGGATACCTTCTAATAATTTTATTGATCTTGCAATATGGACGATTATGTCAACGAGATAGCCAAGTACGCTAATTGTCCTGTCACCCGGTTTAGGTTTTATTTGATAGTTTTTGCATACAGGTAGAGTACAGGTGGCCTCTTCAAATCCTTCGTGGTTCAGCACGCAAAAAGCACTGACTTGAGCTTGATGAAATCAAAAGCTTTCACATAATCCATGAAAGCCGAACATTCATTCATTAGATCTCTATTCTTGGGTTTTTCACCAATTGGTTGATGGCTTGCAGGTGGTCCACAATGGAAAATCTCAACCTGAAGTTTGCTTGATTGCACTCTCGGTAGGTTAAAATCAAGAAACTCGAAAAAAAAAAAAAACTTGTACATTGCAGGTAACAGGCTTGCCAGGCGATACATGTTGATGTCTGTTCTGGTAAGCAAGGGTATTAATGAATTTAACCAAATCTTCTAACGCTGTTTTCCATTATATATATATATATATATATAGCAAGTATTATACCAGTATTATTAATGTCTGCATAATAATCAGTACATGTTCGGTGCGAAGGTTTTTTTTATTACTATATACCTACTTTGCATCCTCCTGCTATATATATATATATATATATATATATATATATATATATATATATATATATATATATATATATATATATATGTGTGTGTGTGTGTATTTTATTTTAAAAGAAGTAATGGATTTTTATTCATTAATCCGACAGATTTTTTTAGCACTTTAAAAGTTATTTTTAGTGGATACCCGTTCAGTAGACGATCCGTTTATTTATTAAACAGTATATTTATTTATTTTCGTCTACCGACCTGAATATTCGAGAAATCTTTGGAAAGAAAAACATGTGTTCCCGGGAGGATCTAACATATTTCCCCTCTTTGCAGAACGAAACCTTCGTTAGATTCGACACAACCACCAGGTCCTCTGCCCAGAGACACGCAGGTTCGAATCTTTCCGAGGAGCACAAAATATGTACAGTACTCAGTTTTTTCTACATTTTTTATTCATTTCACTCCAATTATGGCGATAAAGTCACTAAGACGCAAAGAGTTACTGAGAGTAAAAGAAAGTTAGAAAACGTTATTTAGGAGAGAAGATCAATAAAAGAAATTATGAGATAAGTGCTCTTTTAAGGGACCTTTTTTAGTGAATTCATTGAAAGTGCACTGATCTGATAATTCCCTACGGTCAACCTCAGACCATGTATACACTATCACTGATCATCGCAAAAAGCAATAGTAGCCTAATGCGGTATACAAACGATATTAACTTGGCATGTGAGATAATGAAAGTAACAAGCTAGTTATTTTTTCACTGAGCTGTTAGAGCATCATGCCTCAAGGGCAATATTTATATGGCAAGCTGTTAGTAGCACACATCGCCAACATAGCTGGGTGATCATGTAGAACACGAAAACTACTGGAGTTCAGCCTGAGGTTTGCTAAAGAACATTTATATGAACCGGATATAAACTGGAATAATATTTATTAATCTGATTTATTATCTGTTGTGTATGATACACCTAATTTACATAAGCGGACTACCGACCATATAAATATGGGTTGGTACCGGAAGACGGGGAAGATAGTAGAGATTAAGAAATTGAATCCAGAGACTCTGCCCGACTGCGATTTAGTCAACCCATTATGCAGGAACAGTCTTCCCAAGAATATACCAAACTAACTGTAAATATTGTGTACCTATTCTTTGTTTCAATACATTTTGTTAACGTACATTTTGTGTTGTATTATTCCATGCTTATTTAAGCTTCAACATTATCTTAATGCAAAAACCTCGTATTTTAGAGACATAGTTACACAGTTTACAGTCTGTGCAGTCAATTATAGTTTATCGTTTATAAGTCAGTCAGTTATGTGCCATGGGTGATACACGCTCAGACGATCATGTATATTTCAATACATGACTGACGAGGCAGATTTTTTTCCCGCAGTAGGTTGCCATTTCTTTCTGCAGTGGACCATCCAAGACTATAGAACCCGTTCTGTCCTGCTATTTACCCATAGCTGGGGGAGAAGAAGAAATGGATTCATACCTTACCCCAGCATATTAGCATATAAGTGAATGTAATGGATTCGACTGGAATTCAAACCCGGCTCTCCGATTCCTCAATCCGAGCCGCTATCCATTACTCCAATTTATAAGACTTAGTTAAAATTCAAAACTTGTGAAAATGGTATCAGTAAAGGTAACGGTAAAAGTAAAGGTAATGGTAATATAAAGAAAAAAAACAGAGATCTACTCGAAATAGGCTACTTTCAAATCCC